CATGCCCCCCCCCCCAAAAAAAAAAAAAAAATTAAAAATCCCAGCTAGCAGTGTCAAGTAAGTAAAAATGAGGGATTCTGGCCATCTGTTCATACAGGCTTAAAATGGATGATAATGACTAGCAGTACTTAAAATACAGCTTTCAGAGTCAAGTATATCACTGTACTCTTTCTGTGAGATTCCAAATTAATGGGGACTCATGAAACTCAAAAGGTGTAAGTGAGCTTTACCTTCTTCAGGTCTTTTGGAACTGATACAGAATAAAGCATTCCTAAAGTACTCTGGGCCTTCACACTTGCTTTTGGGTTCCCATGGTCTGCAGCAATAAGCCACAACCTAAGAAAATGGGGACAAGGGAAGTTTAAGTAATGCAGCATCTTAGCATCTTAGACTCATCAGGAAAATTACTGACTGCCATTACCTTTCAGCCTCTTCAGTTGACTGCTTAACACCGCATCCTTCATAATACGCTCTGCCAAGGTTGTATGCAGCTGCAAACTTCAAGTGTCTTGCTTTTGGGGAATCAGAGTCAAGTATTTTCTTCATGTATTCCACTCCCTTTTCCTAAAATTGAGATACTTCAATTATTACATTCAGACTGGGAAGAGGATGAAATAAAGAACCTAAGAATCCATTACCTTCTGCAAGACAGATATTATTTCCACTTTGAAGAAAGGCTGAGGCATACTGGTAGGACAGTCTAGAGAACAGTATCATACAAAAACAGAACTGACCTTTAGTTACTAGGCAGCTCGTAGATTTTTCTACTCCAGTGTATTTTTAGTGTGAAACATTTCCTTATAAATGTTCATCTAATATAATGTTACTCTTCTCCATTGATAAAAATTTTCTCAGAAATATTCTTGTGCTTATGAATGTCACATCCTAAAATTGCTACATTTTCAGACTTCTGTAAACTTTTTTTGCATTGCAGAATTGTTTTGCCAATTATCAGGCCTAGCATAAAAGACACAGCCAGCATAAAGATGAACCAATAACCAAATTGTATTTGATACAAAAGGTCAGTACATGGGTGAGCACTGAGGGTACAAACAAGGCAGTCAGATTATATATAATCCACATCAATCCCACTGACCACAACACCGCCACCGCATGACCAACAGTGGGTGGAATAAATGGTGAAATGCAGTCTCCCATAGAAGGGACGGGAGACAACCAAGTCAACAAGCCAAATACATAAGACCAAGGAAGCCACACACTGAATCTCTACACAGCTCACGTTTACAAAAGCCAGACCTGACTGGAGCCCAGTCCCGGGGAGGCAGGAGGTCCTTCCCCAACAGGGAACTCTGCACAAAGAACCCACCTCACATACAGACAAGTGGTCCCAGCTTTTATCCCTCAGTGGGACACCTGACCCTTGTTTACTCAATGTGGGACACCTGGGGCTCATTTACCCAAAGGCTCTCCCTGCCAGGCCGGCCGCACCCTGGAGGGAAGCCTAAAGGCAAACTCACCCCCCCTTTGTGAAGGGCTGTGGGAATCACCCACATGTCAGCCTTAATTTGGGGCTTGGGGTTGAAACCCCAGCATTTCACAGATGTATCTGAAATCCTAAACCAACCTTAACAGAAGGCAAAGTGATACAATAGTACACTCTGAAGTCCCTCCATTAAAAATACCTTTACATTAATAATGGACAAAAAAGTGATTGTGTTAAATAAGCAAATGGAGAACGTTGCATATCAGCAGCTGTATGGTGTATCATCCAAGGACCTCATAAGTATTTTGGAAACAAGATTCATACTGCTAGGATTTAGCATGGACACCTGTTTTAATATACTAGAAACAGTCCTTTATAAAAGGTTCCTCTTTTATTCACCTCTCATATTGTAATACACAAAAAAAGAAAGAAACTTTACTAAAATGTTTAGTTTCAAGTAAACCAATGAGGTAACTATACAGGCATACAGCACACAGAATAAAAGAACCACCCCTAAAAAGAATATTTTCTGCTCTGCTGACAATCCTCTAAGCACTAGATAAGAATCTGATTTGTTAATACAGTTGGGTTAATTTTCATACTCCCCTGTCTTGTTATCTACCCTTTCCTTCATCCTCTTTGTATTTTTTCCTTATACCATTCTTCAAGATCATGTTCTCCAATAAAATCTTCTTACTGTAGCAATTAATTCCTTTGTCTTTCTGTTTTTTGTAATGTAACTCTTCATTTTGAATTCTTCAAATTCTTGCAAACTAATTCTTCATCTGTCTAATTTAAAAATATTCTTGCCAACCGCTGGCAGAAACACAGTCTTCCTTAGCATCCATGTTAAGAAAATAGAAAATACCTTAAAAAACATCTTTGTGCAACAGATGTTTTACACTTCGAAATATAGTTGTTTGGTTTCCATTTTTACACATTTTTATATATACTGCTTATTAAAAAGTAACAAATTAATAGCAAATTTTAAGCATAGTATAACTAAACCCTTAGAAGTTCTATTTTAAAATACAAATTATATTTTTCATATAAACTTATTTTATTATAGGTATTTTTGAGAACTCCTTCAGCCCAGAACCCCCTCTCTCTAATGACACTTTGTAAACATCTGTACTTTATGAAACTCATTCTAAATCAAAGACTTGTTTATTTTAAACTAAAGGAGCTTTTAGTAATTATCAGCTAATGTTAAAGTAAAAATTGTACAGCTAGATTACTCACAGGGTCTTCTTTAGTGCCTAGTCCATCATAATGCATTACACCAAGCTGATACATTGCTTGAAAATCTGTATCCTTGATTTTTTCAAATTGTATTAATGCTTCTTCATACAACCCCTGGGAAGGACAGAACAAAAAATGAAATACACAGAACAAAGAGTACATATGGCATCTTAACTTTCTAGTATATACTCTCTTACAGTTTTTCAACCTGGAGCATTGAACAAAGAACAAAAAATTGCAACCATAGAAGGGGCAGAGATTGGAAATACATACAGTAAGTCAGAAACCACAAGGAAGTTGGATGGGGTGGAAGTCCTTAGGGCTTTCAAAACAGGTTTCATTGGTTTTATATGCATTTAAAAAACCCTAAATATAAGTTAGTGGTATACAAACATCATCTCTGAAATCAAAACACCCTCTGACAGCCTTTCTTCCTCTCCCTCAAAATGCCATCTTTTTAATTTAATAAGAGTCTTAATTCAGATGCCCTGAATGCTAGATGTTCTATCTAGCTGACATCCCTTAATTTAGGTGAGCTATTCTTATACCCTGAGGGTTTAAGAGTCTGCTTTTACATCTCAACTAGGGGTTGGTTTCACAAAGCCTAAACTCAGATGTCCGAATACTTTACGGACATATCTGTCTGCTACTTGTTTCTGATGCAGGCATCACCTGCAACAGCAGAGATTTTTTCCTGGAAGTGAAAGTGAGTATTTACTGCATTAAGTCAAAGAAGAAATTATATTTAAAAATACACAGTTAAACAACTGTAATGTAAGAATTAACTGAGCCTGGTGTCTTTATGAAAGTATTTTTATCTAAGCATACTAAGTAAATACTATTGAAATTAAAATGTTCTTCTCCATACTTTTCCTTCAAATTTTCTGTATGTTTTGATAAAAAATACCAGACTGCAAAAGCTTAGAACTGAGCAATAGAGCAATAGTCAAACATCCTCACAGTGACAATATGCCTCTTCTTGATACTGTCTAAACTACTAATGGTCTCAGGAGTTTAGCTGTTATGACTGAGTGGGGTTTTTTTTAAAGAACTCTGGAAAAAAAAACCCAAAACAACAAAAAACAACTCAACAACCTAACTTTTTTACAACCAGCTGTTAGGAGTATAAAAAAAGAAGTAAAAAAGGCACCTGTACTCTCACCTTTCTTAAGTATTCAGTGCTATAAGGAGTTGTTATGACGATGACTGGGCAGAGCTGGGAGGCAACTGGAAGACCCCACTAGATGCTTGGGGAAGGTGTAGGAAAAAGGTATTTAGGGGAACACCTGGTGATTTTAATGAAAAAAAAAAAAACAAAAACAAAACAAAAACAAAAAACCCCAAAGGCATAGGCATCTCTTGTAGGTTTTTTTTTTAAGGTGTCTCTTCTTCCCACTGAAACCGCATTGAAAGTTGTCAGCTTTATAATATTTACTTCAAAGAAGAAAACCACAACCTCTTCGTAGTACAGCTGTCCTTTCAGAAAACATGCCCGATGATCTCCACCTGCTGTTCTCTCCGCCAACAGCTCCTCTGCTTTTGCAAGTAAAGCAGCACGGCCGCAGTTCCCTGCGTAAAAATAGACACATTTTTTTTTTCTCAAAACAAATGGAACAGCATCAACAAGCGCACTAAAGGTGTCCCCTTTTTATGATATGTTTTAAAAGACTAAGATGGAAGAGAGATACGAAGGAAACGTTCAGTGACGACGACTCGGCCCTTGTGAACGTTAAGTTCGCCAACCTGGAAGACCTTAAAAGCCAACCTGAACAAAAGAGGGGACCTGGCATCACAAGCGGCCTTTCAGCCTCAGCCAGGCAAGAGCAAGGCCGAGGGGGGCGCAGGGGTCC